GGCATCAAAATTCCTAGTTGTGACAATGATATTATGCGTGAATAATCTAAGAACCAATGAATATTAATCTTTATAGTTATCAAGTTGGTTTTTACCTTTAACCATGTTTTTTGTTCAATTATAATTATTTTTTTGCAGGCTAACAAAGGCAAAAGCAGTGCAACCACTTTCAAAAATTGTTCCAATTCCAAAGAGCCAAATCACACCTTATAGAGTTATGATCATTACATGATTGATCACTTTGGGATTTTTTTTCCCATTATAGAATAAGAAATCCAATTGAAAGTTCTTATGGATTGTGCTTCACTTCTATTATTTGTCAGATATGGTTTGCAATCTTGGGTATTGGATTAGTTTCCCAAATGGTATCCTATTAATAGGGTTACACCAAAAATAATGGTATCCTATTAATAGGGTTACACCAAAAATTGAGCATTGTTGTATGGTGATTTTTATTGACTTTTGTTTGTGTTTTAAAGTTATACACAACCATATTTCCATTTCAGGGTATGTTTCTCTATTTTCTACTTGAATTGCACATTCAGTCATAATGAAAGCTTTTTGAAGTTTTTGGTCTTTATGTATCGTTGTGATGTGTTGTTATTTTTAATATCAATAAAAGTTGTTAATCAATTTAAGTTGACATCAAGGTGGTCCTTGGGACTCATGCGACTAAAGATGCAGGATGTTTAGAGCCGATGGTTCAAATTTAGTGATAATGTCGTATGTTTTGATTACTTTCTTCCTGTTTCACATTTTTTTATGTCTTCATATAAAAAAAAACAATCTTCATTTGTTATCTTATATTATGAATGTATTTGTTTAAAATTTATGCTTCCAAATGACAACATATGTATTAGTGAGATTACAAATGTTAAATCTCATTTATTTGAAGATTTTCAACATCTATTTTAGGATGAACCAAAGAGGTCAAATGTTCATTCTTTGAGTCTTCTATTAACATGTCGACATATTGTGACTAAAAATTCAGGAAGAAAAAATAAATATCTAAAAATGTGCTTTGGTCCTAATTTTAACATTAGGTATTCATATAATAGTATTCTAGGCTTAGGTTAACATATCACTAAAGATACACATATACATACAAATGCAAATACAAATACATATCCACATCTACAAACACAAAATAGAAATGCAAATACACATCTAAAATATCAAGATTATCAAAATTTCGCCATGAACAATGGTGGTGGCGGTATACTCCGACGAGAATGGTGGGGGGTATCAAAATTCCGACAACCAACACAAATTTAGTAGGGAGAAGAGAAAAGGAAAAGAAAAAGGGGGAAAATGGAAAGGAAGAGAAGTGAAATATCGAAGATTTCGGTGAAATTCCGATGGGGTCGAAGGTGGTGAGCAGAGAGAAGAGAGAAGAAAGGAAAACACAGAAGTAGACCAGGGAAGAGAGTGAAGACGAAAAAGATTTTATTATCGACGCTCTTTAGCGGCGACGCCATTAGTGGCGATGGACAGCCTTTAGCGGTGACACATCGGAGGGAAAACAATCCGGGGTTTTCTACATCGCTGGATCATTGCTTAAATCGACGGTTGGGGTTGAAATGACGTGGATCGCCAGAACATGCAATAGCGGCGATACACCGGAGGGAAAATAACGCGGTGTTTTCTACGTCCTCCTAGTCATTGGATCATCTCCTAAATCGACGGTTAGGGTTGAAATGACGCCGATCGCCAACGTAAGCTTTTAGCGGCGACACCTTTAGCGGCGACGAACACTTTTAACGGCGACAAAAACGCGTTTGTTTGATGTCACCTCTAAAAGTGTCCGTCTTTGCTAAAGGTGTCGCTCCTATTGCATATTATTCTTGTAGTGTTTGGACAACTACTATACCTTTATTTTCTTTATGCAACTTTAGAAAGTCAAATTTAAAAATCAAATAAACAATATTTAAACATTTTAATTATTTATTTATAAGTTTAATATACATTTATATAAAAGAAGTTAGACCAAAAAAATATATTATTTTGATTTTAGTACTACGAAAATATTAAGGTAATTAATTAGACAAAAAAAAAATAGTACTTTTTACAAAATAGGTTTTTACATAACAGATTATTTTGTAGATAACATCTTAACACATATATGTCATCTACATCAATTGATCAAGCTTCATTTACTGCGAATGTTATTAACACATTATAATGGTACATTATTTTGTTTCATTTTCTTTATTTATTGTCATATCTATTACAATATAATTTTTTCAATATTTTTTTCACATAAATCATAACTAAAATTCCATTATTTATTATTGCAAATTTGTTTATCAACATTGTTATTTTAGCCCATATATATATAATAAGATATATTTATTTGTGTAGATTGTCTTTTTTATTTTAATTTTATTCAAATTTAAAGTTTTTATATGTCTATACATACATAACATATACTTGAGATTCAAATATATATATATATATATATATATATATATATATATATATATATATATATATATATATATATATATATATATATATATATAGATTTTAAATAATCAATATAAAAATCTAAACAAAACTTATATATATCTTATTAATTTAACAAAATTTTATAAATATTTGATTTTTCATTAACATTTTCAATTATCAGTATTATTTTTTATTTTACCCGTAGTTTCCACGGGCTGTAACCTAGTATAATTAATAAGCATTCAATAAATTTTTAAGAAAATGACAATTAATGATGTAAAGTTAAATACAAACAAGAAACAAGTAATAGTAATAAAGATAAGGCTTATTAATTTCGACCCCAAATAAACATTTTAGAGTAAATTACAATGAAACAACTTACAAAGAAATTGAATATTATGATATCTGAATACTATGATATCAAACCGTATTAAGAGAGTTCTATGCTGATATGGCTGAGTCACAAAATTAATAGACGAGGTGTGTATATATGGCTCATATTAAGGATTTTCCAAATGACTCCATTGATCGCATCTTCTTCTTACCAGTTGTGATTGGCGATCACAAACTTTTTTTGTTGCTCATTTTAAGGTCTTCACAGTTCACACTCCAAATCCATTAATTCAAGCAAAAAGCCATGTATCTCCAAGTAAGAAGCACGTAGGGTCGGTTCTAAGCATTTTAATATCCTCAAATGCTCGGGATGAACGTGAAATAAAAAAATCTTTATTGCTATTACAAGTTTTTTAATTTTAAATGAATATCTATATATAATTTAAAGGGAAAATGACATATAGACTTCGAACTTTCTAGAGTTTATCCTTTTAGACCCTAAACAATTTTTGTAGCCTTATCAGGGTACCAAGTTGTTTTTTTCGGGTTGATTACATACTTTTGGTTAAAGTTAAGGGGTTAGCTAAGTTGTTTTTTTCGGGTCGATTACATACTTTTGGTTAAAGTGAAGGGGTCAGCTGGTTACTTATTTGACACAATGACATTTGTTGACCAATTTTCTTATATTGACTTTAAATTTTCCCATACATACTCTCTCTCTCTCTCTCTCTCTCTCTTCCTGAAACCCACCTGCAAATAGAGGTCTTGTACTCCTGCTGTAACTAGCATCATATCAACAAATAAGGGGATTGAGTTTTTTATTTAATCATTGACCACCCTTTGTATGTATTCTCTTTGAATCGCATGAGACCAATTCTGTGGGTTTGTATGTATTCTCAAAGAACAAAGGTGTTGTGGTTCCCCCAAGAACTTCAAAAAATCAAAAGAAAAACTTCACCCTTTTCTGAATCGTTTACCCAGGAGGCCAGATCTTGAAATTTGATTCACAACAGGTGTGTTGATGGTTTGTGTTAGTGTCTGCCTAGAAACGAGATTGAAATTGTGTGTACCCAAAAATGAAATCGAAAACAATTACTCTAAAACCAATCCAGAAACTCGATGAGGTGCCATTTGCTTGGATCCTAAGCTCCGGTAACCAAAACAACAAAGTCGATCGGAAATTTACATCATCCCATCATGAATCGCAATTGTTTCAGTTATACTTAGGAAGTCCGATAGAGGCCAACTCATGTCATTCGGTTCCGATGTCTGTAACTCCGACACCTCCTCTTTGTTCCCAGATAAAGGCCTTGTTGTACTATACCGAAGCAAAGTTATGACCTCGAGGATGGTAATCACAACAAGAATCTGGAAGTACGACACCTAATTCTACCAGAAAAATGAGCGACGAGAGAAGTTTTTTTGGGGATTTCACTATATATTCCGAATTTCTGGATGTTTTCTTCAAAATCGCCATCAGCTCAAGCAGATTCATGACGAGATGGAGTGCATGCTTTAAATTTTGCTCGAGTAGTGATTTATATGGAGTTTATGTGTGTTTGATTAGCATATAGAACTAGATAGTTCAGTTTATAGTCTATCGTTCCGAGAGAGAGAGAGAGAGAGAGAGAGAGAGAGAGAGAGAGAGAGAGAGAGAGAGAGAGAGAGAGAGAGAGAGAGAGAGAGAGAGAGATGGGCCCCAAGTTTTGTCAATAAAACCGAAGAAAAGAGGTGAAAATGGCTAAATAAACAGGTTCTCCCTACTTGGTTCCAGGCTAAAAAATAAGTTAAGTGGTTAAAAGGGTAAATTTTAAAAAATTATATGACCTCTCATTTTCCTTAATTTAGAATAAAAAAAGTTGTGCGGAAAAATTTGTGCCAAGATACCCACGTTACCCCTGAGGCCCATGCAGTAAGGGATTACGATTGTGATCAAAAGTTGAATTTCGTTGTCTTATCCACATTTTGATTTTCTTTGCTGGACTTTTCTCAACGTGGCATTATTAGTTGCCTCTTATTTTCATATATTATTTTGGAGCTATTATTTATATCTCATGCGTGTCATTATAAACCTATACTTAAAGAATTATTCAAAGATACGGAAAAGTTTTACAAATTCGGGATATTAAAATTTGGAGGGAGTATGGGCTAGATTAGAAGGTTGACATTAGTTTGTGTATAAATTGCATGTCTCAACCATGCATTGCAATATCACAAAAATGGCAATCACCTCTTCTTTCAACATTCAAATCTTCATTTTTCCTCTCCTCGTTGTCTTACTCTCTACCCAATCCTCAGAAACTTCGACATCAATTACAGATCGGTTCACCCAATGTCTAAACAACAAAGCCGACCCTGGTTTTCCGATCAGTGGACAACTTTACACTCCCCGTAACTCTTCATTTCCATCTGTCTTGCAAGCTTACATCCGTAACCTTCGCTTCAATGAATCCACCACGCCCAAACCCATCGTAATCATCACTGCCTTACATCCTTCGCACATTCAAGCTGCTGTTGTGTGCGCCAAAACACACCGCCTGCTAATGAAAACCAGAAGCGGAGGCCATGATTATGAAGGGCTATCCTATATATCCTATTTAAACCAACCCTTCTTCGTTGTTGACACGTTTAACTTACGATCCATAAAGGTAAATACTGAAGATGAAACTGCATGGGTCCAAACTGGTGCGACTCTTGGTGAAGTCTACTACCGAATTGCAGAGAAAAGCAACATGCATGCTTTTCCCGCTGGAATTTGCCCTACTGTTGGAGTTGGTGGCCATTTTAGTGGTGGTGGTTATGGTAACTTGATGAGAAAATATGGCCTTTCGGTTGACAATATTGTTGATGCTCAGTTAATCAACGTGAACGGCAAACTTCTGAATCGGAAATCCATGGGTGAAGATCTTTTTTGGGCCATCACAGGTGGTGGTGGTGTCAGTTTTGGTGTGGTTCTAGCGTTCAAGATCAAACTGGTTCGTGTTCCTCCCGTTGTGACTGTCTTTAACATCCAAAGAACATCAGAACAGAACCTCAGCACCATCGCTGACAGGTGGATACAAGTTGCCAATAAGCTGGATAATGACCTTTTCCTTCGAATGATCTTACAAGTAATAAACACAAATGGCGAAAAGACAATCGGTGGTATTTTTCCAACTCTGTACCTTGGAAACTCGACAGCTCTTGTTAACCTCCTGAACAAAGATTTCCCAGAACTAGGGGTTGAAATTTCAGAGTGTATTGAAATGAGTTGGATAGAGTCTGTGCTTTTCTACACAAACTTCCCCATGGGTACTCCGACAACAGCTCTTCTAAGCCGTACAGCACAAGGTATCAACCCATTCAAGGTCAAATCTGATTACGTAAAAAACCCTATTTCAAAAGAAGGATTCAAATATATATTCGAAAAGATGAAAGAACTTGAAAACCAAATGTTGATTTTCAACCCTTATGGTGGAAGAATGAGCGAAATTTCCGAATTTGCAAAGCCTTTCCCGCATCGATCAGGGAATATAGCTAAGATCCAATACTATGTAACCTGGGATGAACTTGGCGTTGAAGCAGCGGATCGGTACTTGAACTTCACAAGGATGATGTATGATTACATGACTCCTTTTGTTTCTAAGAACCCCAGGGAAGCATTTCTGAACTACAGGGATTTGGACATTGGTGTCAACAACCATGGCAAGAATGCTTACGTTGAAGGAATGGTTTATGGGCACAAGTATTTCAAAGAGACGAATTATAAGAGGCTAACGATGGTGAAGAGGAGGGTTGATCCTACAAATTTCTTTAGGAATGAGCAAAGTATACCAACTTTGTCATCTTAAAGGAAATTATTCTAACTACTTGTGCATTAAATACCTCCATGACTTTTGCTTAATTGCGTTTTAAGAGTATCGTTTTTTCAAAGTCAGGATATCCAAATTTAGATGATAATGAAAGATATAATTTTGACTTGTATTTTATACAAGGAAAATTATACGATGTGTTTCTGGATTTCGATTTTCTATTTTTGAGAAGCGTATGAAACTTATGTCGATTATTTTATGCACAAGATATTGGAACATTTGAACACTTTATTATTTAATGCACAAGATATCTTGAACATTTGAAACTTCGATTATTTTATGCACAATATATCTCAAATATTTGAACACTACTGAAAAATGACAAATAGAATACTATTATAATGAAATATGAAATAAAGTTTTGCTTCCCTGTTCTATAATTAAGCCCGTATTAAGTATTTTATAATTTATGAGTAGATTTATCCTCGAAAAAAATATTTTATAATTAAGTGGTTTTTTATAATTATCATAAAATAGCAACCGTATTCTTTAAAAATATATTTAGTACGGTTTTGTTTCAATCTAACAAAAGAATCTATCTTATGTCACAAAGTGAAATTACCTTTAGACCCTTCGATGTTATAACCTACAACTTTCTTTGGTTCAAATTAAATTACATATATTGTTGGAAACTTAGAATATTGGGTATAAGTCAATGTTATAACACCATTTTAAATGTCATATCCTCCATAACACCACAAGTTACGTGTTAAGAGGTAGTGAGAGAAAGAAATAAAATAGAAGAAAAAAGGATTTGATTGGCTTATTCTCCCGTTGCACGATAACACCGCCAACCTTCACTAATAACCCTAGTATCTTCTCTTCATCATCTCTAAAAATTTCATAAAATCCTCGAAGGGTGTTCGTGCTTCACAATCTCGGAACTTGGTACTCAATTTGCGGCTTTATCCTCCTAAGACTTCCAACAATCTTGAAATCATGTCTTCTTCATTTCATGGACTTTAGGTTCCTTCATGCTCTGTCACTCACAAAATTACATTATGAATTAAGAAGCCAAATAATAGGTTTTAAGGTTACAATTGGTAACCCGCAAACAAAATTTAGCGAAACTTCTCTTAATTCCATCTAAAGATATTTGTTTTTATGTCCAAACTATGTGATGCGAGGATAGTCACTGATGGGTTTAGTTGGTATTCTTTTACAGGATGTCAACTCAACAAAGTCTTTTATCCTTGTATTCTTTCTCTATCAATTTCTATCACTCCATATAGGTTTATTTGAATAAGCATGCTTGTTGAACAAATGCTTGTAAATTTAGATGCATACCAAATGTTTCATGAAACACTTTATTGTCATTTTCTAATTTATTGCATTGTTTGATGATATTGTCGTGTATTGTTTTAATAGATAATCTTCAATTATACATTTTTAGCGACCGATGAACTTAAATGCATGAGGTTTTTTTCTCTTGAAACTATCATGTTCTACGTTTATTACTATCGAATTATTGGGGTTTGTTGTTAAATTTTGATTTTTATTTGAAAAATGAATGGTTGTTCTTAAAAGATGAAAAATGATGTTACTTTAGTTTGTTTTTTTATCATTATTGATGTGGATTTCACCGTATTTAATAAATTATAACATAACCTATAATTTGAGTGGGCGTGTCTCTATGCGATCTTGTGTACGTATATTGTATGTGTTACTATTGGTTTGTGTGACTAAAAATCACACTATTTTTTTTTTTTGTTTTGTGACTAAGGTAATAAGATTTTGAGTTTTATTATATATTGGGTTTTATATTGGCCTATTAGCTAGAAAAACCTTAATTAGCTAGTCTATATAATATGTTTTTTTTTCTTTCATTGTATCTTGTACTTCTCATTTGATGATAATACGAAAGTCGTTCTATGTCTTGTAAGTTTACGTGTTATTAGAGCTTGGTTGATCATCTTTGTTTTTTGTTTTTGGGGGCGAGTTGTACCAGGCATGACATTGCTCGTTTCGAGGGTTTCATTTCACGTTTTCTTGCTTGTTTATGTATTTTGTATGATTTGATTTGTTCATTCCGTTGATTTCGAGGGTTTTGTTTCGTCTGTTGGTTTTGTTGATTTCGAGTTATTACTTGTTTTCTTGCTCGTTTCTGTATTCCCTTTGATTTGATTTGTTTATTTCGTCGATTTCAAGGGTTTCGTTTCGCATGTTGGTTTTGTTGATTTCGAGTTATTGATTGTTGTTGCCGCTATTTCTATTTACTATTGTTTTGGTTATTCTCAGTTGACTGATATTGAAATATGACCCCGAGAGATGATTCTCTTCAGTCCATTAATTTCCAACTTGACGGCAAGAACTATGTATGTTGGAGTTTTGTTATGAAGAATTTCTTGTGAGGCAACACTACGTGGGGGATTATTATTGTTGACAAGAAGAAACCAACAGATGAAAAGACTGCGGATTATGCAGCCTTACTGTATTCACGGGAGACTGATAACTCCATAATCATTACTTGGATTAATATTTTTTATCCAGTATATTGATACTCACTTGGTGAAGTATGGCACAATAAAGGAGGTATGGCATTACTTTGCTAGGTTGTATACTCAGTCTAACTATACAAAGCAGTATCAGTTAGAGTTTAACATTCAAGCCCTCCAACAGAACAGTCTCAGTGTTTAGGAATTTTATGCATCTATGTTGGATTTGTGGGATCAGTTGGCTCTTACTGAACCTGATGTGTTGAAGGATTTTAAGCCTTATATTGATCGAAGGGAAGAGCAACATTTAGTTATGTTCTTGATGGCATTATGTATGGATCAATATTGCATTGCACACCTCTTCCCATAGTTGATTTGGTTGTTCACGGGTTAATTGTTGAAGAAACTCGTATCAAGTCCCATTGTCACAACCGGGAAAAATTTAGACCCAGCAAAGCCTAAACCCTAACCATGTACTAGTGAATCCACATTACTATCCTTGTTGTATTGTATTCTCTATGGCCATTAGGACATGTTTATAAGCTAGTAGCTAAGCATGGATTGAAACCTAAATTAAATTAAGTTAGAAAAATTCAACAATTGGCTAAAGTTTAAAGTTTAAACCATATAATAACTCCCATATAGGAGATTTCGGTCCAAAGATCCAAGGATCTTCTATTTTGTGGTCCTAATAGTCAAAAGCAATTAGGTTTTCGGCCATGAATTCAATGAATCAAGAGTTTACGGTTTGGAATTGAAGACCAAATGGGTTTTCGGGCTAGGTGTGACCGAAAACACACTACCAAGCCTATTAAAGGACTGAAAACACAATCTTATGGCCCATTATGAACCATAAACACCCTTTATACATAAGTGTTCAACCGCAAACCATTCTCATTTCATACCATAAACCCATCACTTTTTGCTCTCAAGTATCATCCGTAAACCCAAAAAATTCATAAGATTCTTGCCTAGATTTCCTTATTCTCACCAAGAACACCAAGAACATTCATTCATAACATCAAGTCTTCAAGACCCCAACCGAAAACACTCAACCCCTCACCGATAACTCCATTTGTGCACCGAAAACGTCTAGAATTATTCCAAATAATTCCTATAACTTTTTGTAAGTATTTTTCTTACATAATTAAGTGTTGTCTAACACTTTAATTATTATTTAGCCAACACTTAATTATTTAAGTTAATATCTTATTAATTTAGATACGATGTCGGGTATAATTATTTTAGGTTACGACTACCGTCAAGTATTTTAATCCGATAATCATCATTGGCACTTTGCGAATAAAACGAGCAAACATGTTCGAGGTGAGTTCATACACCTACGTTTTCACTATTTGTCTATGTTTGGGGGGGGGGGGGGGAGACAAGTAAAACACAAGGAAATCTTGTGTGACTATTCAAATGATTTTAAACGGTTTCGAACCATAATAAGCTATTCCAACTGATTCAAACAATTTTAAAACTATTTCAAACTACTTCAACTATTCTATGCTTTGGTTTTCCAAAATACATGTTATATACATATATATATATATATATATATATATATATATATATATATATATATATATATATAAATATAAAAGACTCATTAGATAAAACTTTAACTCTTTTATAACATGTCGAGCAAAAGGGGTACCTTTCTCTAATTAATTCATTGTGTTATAAAAACTGCTAAACTCTAAGATTTTCATCGCATACATAACATGCATTTAAACTATAATAGGTATAGTGTGAAAGACGCTACACTATTTTACAGATTCAAGAACACTATTCAGAATCACGGAAATAAACTATTGTTGGTATAGTTTATGGAACACTACTCTATTACAATGATTCTAGGACACACTACTAAATAATTATTTAAGTATAATTATTTTACGTTATAAAGTACACTATTACAAGGTAATACATACAGTTTCAAGTACAAGAGAACACTACAACACTACACGTAAAATAGTTAATACAAGGTTGTGAGGCACTACTTCGGGGTACCCATCAAGGTACATGTTCAAGTCCTACAAATTATAACCAGGGTCTCCTGGAGGGAGAGCATGAGATTTATGTATAGTTCTATACGTTATTGACAATCCCACACCCGAGCTGCTTGCAACAGCTAGGCTAGCAAGCGTGGGGTGACAAATGTCAGAATATACAGACACTTAAAGAACACCGTGGAGGCCACTAGGTCATCTTAGAATGGTTATGTGAAACTCACAATAGTTTCAACTAAACATTGCTTACGGGATTAGCACTACTTTAATGGTTTTATTTTAATTTAAAGAAACTACAATACACTACTATACATGACAGCTGGTGGTATCTAGGCATTCATACAACACACTACTATACATAATAACTGATGGTATCCAGACATGTATACAAAGGTTTTCATACAATACACTACTATACATTACAACTGGTGGTATCTAGGCATTCCTATAAAGGTTTTCATACAACACACTGCTATACATAATAATTGATGGTATCTACGCATTCATACAAAAGTTTTCATACAATACA